TCTGTCCTGGAAACTCTGAAGGCAGTGGGCTATCCAGCCCTAGGTTTCCCCTTGCTCAGGGGTCACTGTCCTTGGTTGCTTGCTGTCCATTTTCTTTTAAAATGTGTCTTTCGATGGTGCAGGTGTAAAGGCAAATCTAATCTGTGTTATTCTGTCCTGACTGGATCACAGGACTGGCTGTCTCTGAGTTCATTAATTCTTTCTTGTATTATGTTCGTTCTTTACTCAAATTCCTTCAGAGGTTTTTTTTTTTTTTTTTTTTTTTTTTTTTTTTTTTTTAATAGGCTTTGTTTTTTTGGAGCAGTTGTAGCTTGCAGTAAGGCTCTGGAGAAAGTTCGAGGTTCCCCTTCTCTCCCTTCTCCAAACGGCCCCGCTGTCAACACCCCACACCAATGATGCATTTGTGACAATGAACCTACACCTACACATCACTCACTCAAAGTACCTAGTTGAGCTGAGGGTTCACTCTTGGTGCTGTAGGGTCTATGAGCCTGGGGTATACTGATATGCGTGTATACTGATATGCGTCTATGAATAGAGCGCCCTAGAAGACGGTTCTCTTAAAAACCCTTTGTGTTTTGCCTATTGTCTCTCCCTCTCCACCTTAACCCTGGGAACTGCTGGTCTTTTTCGGTCTCCGTAGTCTTGCCTTCTGCAGGATGCTGTATAGCTGGAATCATGTGTTGTATGGTAAGAGTGTGACATGTGGTGGTGGTGGGGGTGCGCTGTACACCATGCCACACTGTACCGTCCAGGGGTGGACAGTAAGCTACTACTCTGCTGGGACATGCAGCTCCCAGCAATCCTAAACCCAGCACTGTAAAGAAGCAGTTTAAAATAAAAGACGATAATTTATATGAAGATGAGGAAGGAGGAAAAGAGAGATGACACAAAGCTACTCTAAAGGAGGAGGGAGAATTCCAAAGAGAATTGCTTATGAATGTCTGCAGCTGCTTTTGTTGAGATCTTGGAATCTGATTGGCTTCCCTGTCCTGTCTTTCATCCTAACCTTGGGTTTCCTTTGGTGGAGGAGGAGAATATGGGTGGGGCCCTGTACACACAGGTAATTTAGGCTACAGGACAGAGAGAAAGTTTGTAATTCTTATGTTAATTGCACTGCTCTTGAACTTCTTCCTTTAGAGTTCTTTGTCTTCCTAATTGCTTGAGTTTAGCTGCCTTTGTCTTTTAATTCCTCGGAGTCTAGCTGCCTTTGCCCTTCTAATTGCTGGAGTCTGGCTGCAGAGGTCAAAACTGCCTTATTAATTTTTAATAAAACCCAGTGAAGCCTTTATCATGTCTTTTCCTGCCCATAGTGCCCCCCATTTGTGTAAAAGTACGTTCCATTTTTAAAGAAACTGCCAAACATACTTACAAAGCGTGTGCCATTTTATTTTCCTGCTAGCCCTGTTGCCCCTCCTTGCCAGCGCTGGTCAGAGTTTTACATTTTAGCCATCTGATCGGTGTAGAGCAGTATCTTGTTGTTTCCATGTGTGAGGCTCTGGTCACCTATGTTGTTGTGCATCTTTTCATATACTTATTTGCAACCTCTATTTCTTCTTTGGTGAGGTATTTGTTCAGGGTTTTTGCCCGTTTGAAAATTGAGCTGTGTACTTCAGACAACTGTTCCTTTCAGGTATAACTTTCATCTATATTTTTTCTCAGTCATGACTTGTTCTCTCATACTGATGTAGGGGAAGGGAACTCCCACCTAGTAAATGTGCAGGACTAGTTCAGTTTTCTAAAATCGAAGAATGAATTTTAGGAACAATGGAGGTTAAGAGCCGAATATATTTATTGAGAGAAAGAAAGCTTCTGTCAGAGAGAGAGAGAGAGAGAGAGAGAGAGAGAGAGAGTCCCAGGTGGGTTGCCAAAGATTTTGTCTTTTCTAAGGACTTTTATAGAGCAAAACCACAAAGTGAGATAGGTCCAAGATGGAGAAAACATCGAAGCTCTCAAGGCAGGAAGGCATGAGGTGGGACAGAACTATGGTCAACCAATAAGATTAATTGCTCAGGTAAAATTGACCAAATCAGGGACAAATAGGGAAGCAAGTCATGTAACAGGGGATATGCTTAAATAGCAGTGACTTTCTGTAGGGCTTTGGGATGTTGACCCTTGTCTTCCTCAGGGTGATCCATACCTATTTAAAATATCAATTGCTGATGTTTATGATAGAACTGTGGGGTGGGGGGGGGAGGACGGGTGGCAGCTGACAAGATAAGAAGTATAAAATATAAATAACCTTTATTTTGGGAATGTGGGGAGAGACACTCCCAACCCCCTGGGGCATGGCATCTCCACCCCGGGGCCGTCAATCTCTCCGTGGAACACGTGGAAAACGTGGAGTGAGGCACATAAGTAGCCTCGGCCTGGGGTGGAACCTAAGGGGGCATTAGGGATGCACAGGTAGCCCATTGGACTTAGTTTGGCGCCAGAGGCAATTCCTAAGGGTGGGGGAGATAGGAGCTTTCTGGCTTTACCAGCTACAGTATCCGGCCTGGGCCAAAACCTATAGCCAGTAAAGCCAAGGAGAGATCGACGGCCCCGGGGTGGAAATGCCACGCCCCAGGGGGTCGGGGGTGTCTCTCCCCACATTCCCAAAATAAAGGTTATTTATATTTTAAACTTCTTATCTTTTCAGCTGCCACCGGTCCTCCCCCCCCCCACAGTTCTATCACCTTTCATATCCCGTCTTATGATTATTATGAAAAGGGGTGAAGATTTCTCTCTTTAACTACTTCCTGCTGGCTGAGGGCGCTGTACTGGGGTCTAGGGGAGTTAACGAGATGACAGTTGATGTCTAGGTAGAAGCTGGTATCAGGTGTTTTAGCCAGGACAACTTCACTGGTGAATGCACGTATGTTAGACTGAAAAAACAAAGAGACAAGATGTTATGAGGAGACATGGCACTGTCATATTTAAGGACCCAAGTGAGGTAGAGGGAAAGGTGTCTTTGATTTAGACATGTTATTCTATCAGGATGACGTTGAGGTAGGATCATTTCCACAGTAAGGCAGAATTCTGAAAATTAAACGTGGGATTAGGAGGAGTGAAGTTATGAGAGGTGCTTATTCCCCCATATGAAAGCATAAAAGTTAAAAGGTAGGTTGGTAAGGCTTGCCTCTGGTATATATGATGTTGGAGTCTGTAGGCAATACTGTTAAAGAGTCCTGCTGTAAAATTGATCATTAATAGAATGTAAGAAATTAGGAACCAAAGTGGATAACAAAACATGACAACCTGTGAGTCGTGGCTATGAGGCCTTGGTAAGGCAGAGATGAGTACGAAAAGGGTGGTTAGATCTAGGGCCTGAGTGATGTGAAACCAGGATGGCAGTCTAGCAACTCTGATTGCTGTTGAGGTTACCAAGAATATCAGGTATGGGTCACTGTAACCTGGTTGTAGTCCTTGGAATGCTTTGCTGCAACAGAACTTTACCAAGTATATCAGTAGTTTCACTGGTTGTGAGAAAGGCTTTTATGTATCCTGAAAAAGTATAAATGAAGTGAGAAGACAAAATGTATCTGTCAGCCTGTATAAAAGGGAATAAAAGCATTTTAAGATTTAGGACTGGGACCTGCACAAAATAGGCCCTGTTTGTAACTGGCATAGGTTGACTTTTAATACTCCGTCAGACATTGAGGATTTATTATAGTAGTCTGAAAACTCAGTAAGAACTCTGTATATATGGCCTCTATGTCCACAAATATAGAGAATGTCTTACCTTGAGAGTTTTAATGTGACTTGGACTCTGAGACAGACACCCACAAAGGCGGTTGTTGTTGGCCCTTAGCCCCTCTGTCTTTGGCAGCAATTTTTGTCAGTGACAAATCTGGCAGTGTCTTGTGAGAGCTAGAAGTTAGGATGGCGCACCCACTCTCTGGTGGCCAGGACAGCCCAGCAGCCCTGGAGTAAGGTCTCAAAGAACGCCAGGATGGGGCATTTTTTTGTCTAATGTCTTCTGCTGCATTTGAGCGTGGTCCATGGAGGGGGGGCAGGTAGCTCTACCTTGTGTAGATTTGTCTGTCTCAGAACTGCAAGTGTTATTTAAAATATGAAAAACCATATCAAGGTCTCTGTGGAGCTTGAAGGTCAAGTTTTGCCTTGTTGCTTGAGATCTGGACTACAGTAAAAGGTATCTGTAGAATTAAGTAAGTATGTAGGAGCTTAATATTGGCATTTTAGATTAGAAAGCAGGCTTTATCTGGATGGCATATCACTTTTTATAGGGTGCCACGTGGAATTAACAAATAAGGCCTTAATGGAAACATTTTGCAGTAAAGGTTTACCAATCCTATGAATAAATGTATTAACTTAGTATATACTCTCAAGTTATTATAACCTAGTTGTTAAACAGGAGATTGGCAACAACACAGTACAGTAGAAGCAATAAATTTAACAGAACATTACTGGTGGTGGACAACATTAGAATTTTTAACAAAACCCTTGTCTTGGAACAGAGCTAGTGGTTTTTAGCAAAAAGGAATTGATAAATATCTCTTAATTTTAGTGGTTAAAACAGGAGATTAGTGTAGGCTTTAATTGATAAACAAGGCTGGTAAAATTACCAGGTGGCCACTAACCTTGAATAAATGGTAGAAAATTGTAAGAAAAATAGCCTCTCTTGAGTGGAAATGAATTGTAAAAAATATGTTTGAGCGGAGCCGTGAGATGTTGTAAAGATGCAGTATCTAAGGCAGTTTGGAACTCTGAGGCAGACAGAGCTCACCTGTAGAGAGAGCATAGTTGCACTTGGGGCAGGGCTGAGGTTATCTGGCATGCAGCACCTAGGCATGAAGAGTGGGTGGGGTGAGTCCCGAGACACAGAACGCAGGGGCGAGCTGAGATGGAACTCACAGAGTGGGCGGGGTGAGCGCTGGGACACAGCGCACAGGAGCAGGCTCAGATTGCACCCGGAAATGGCGACAATGGTGCTGGGATGGCGTAGGGAAATACGCAATTGAGCTGTGACGGTGGGGGGGGGGGCGGTGCCGGCTGCAATGGTGGGTGGGCTCACGGTGGCCTCTGTGGTGGCCTGCGGCTCAGGGGCCGGCCCGCTGGCTACGGAGCCAGCAGCAGGTGGTGCAAAGGGCAGCAGCGGTGGGGCGGGACCCTGGCAGTGGCCAGCCACAGTGGTGGTGGAGGCAGGGGTGGTGGGTGGGGCTGTGAGACATGCCACAGCTTTTAGTCAAGTGTGGCTCTGCTTCCAGAGGCGCATGGCTGGCAGCTGGCGAACGGTAACCCGCAGGAGCCGCTCAAGGGAGCCGCGCTCGCTCTCTGGAGCCACGCTTGCAGGACTCGCAGCCCAGGATGCGGCGCCAAAAGCTGAACCTGTGGTGCAGACAGTCCTGTGAGTATCTCTCAATGGCAAATGGGCCGGCGTGGTGGGGAACAGGTTGGATGTGGAGCTGAGTCACCACGTGGAGCTGAAACTGTTTGTGGGGCGCACAGAAATATCAACCACATGTGGACCTGAAGCACCGCATGACAGTGGAGATACTGCAGAATTGGAGCACAGTGTGAGGGCCAAAAAGCTGTTTAAAATCTTATGTGTATCTCAACATTGCTTGGTCTTATTTTTAATCTCAGCGTCGGGAGATGGGTTGTCGAGCACGGGAAACAAAGGGACGCTGGCAGTGTGGTGGGGGTAGGGGAAGCCGGGAGGAAAGGAGGCACTGAGAAAACTCCAAAAGGCTGCAAGGGAAGACGCTGTTATCTCTTTAAGTTCGGGGAGGGGGAGGGATCCTGGAGGAGACAAAGAGACAGGGAAGCTGGCGGGAAAGGGGCACATTCCCAAAACAAAGATAGAGAGTTTTGTAAGCTTGTCTGCAGTGTGGTAAGCCATAGATAGGTATGGTTTCTGGGGGCGGGGACAGGAAGTGGTCCCTGAGATAAAATCTGGTGTGGGGTCTAGCCCATGGGGCTACAATCAGATGAGACAATGGACCATGGTCTGTCAGGATTAGAGTCATCACACTGCACCCCAGACCATGAGTTGGCTATATGGCTCCAAACTCTTAATAATTGGCCTCCACCAATATTGAGTGGACTTTGCATGGGCCGAGTAACTGCTCTGCCATGAGAACTTAAAAAGCTCTAAAGTGAGGGTCTCTCAGTGTGGGCGGTCCAGAACAGACACAGGCTTGCCCAGAAAGCCCCAAAAGCTCTGGAAAAACGTGAGAGCCTCTCAGTGTGGGCTGTCCAGAGTGGACATCGGCTTGCCCAGAATGGCCTTGGTTTGGGCTGTCTAAAAGACATGAAAGTGTCACGAACCCACGTAAAGTGGGGAGAAAATCCACCTGAGCCTGGCTCAGTGGCTGTCTCCGGGGAATTGCTCACCTGTGGTAAATTGGTGGGTGTTGTTTGCGAACCAGCAGCCAAGCTTACAGTTCCTGAGTGTAGAAGTGAGGAATTAATGCAGGATGCAGTCCGGTCGGTCCTGAACAGCAGGGGACCCAAATCTGGGAACCAGCCCCAGGAGTCTCTTGCCTGCTGTTCCTGGCCAGGGAACCATCTGATAGAACTGTGGGAGGAAGAGGAGGAGGGCCGGCGGCAGCTGAAAAGATAAGTATGAAATATAAATAATTTTTATTTTGGGAATGTGGGGAGAGACACCCCCGACCCCCTGGGGCATGGCATCTCCACCCCGGGGCCGACGATCTCTCCGTGGAACACGTGGAACACGTGGAGTGAGGCACATAAGTAGCCTCGGCCTGGGGTGGAACCTAAGGGGGGCATTAGGGATGCACAGGTAGCCCATTGGTCTTAGTTTGGCGCCAGAGGCAATTCCTAAGGGTGGGGGAGATAGGAGCTTTCTGGCTTCACCAGCTATAGTATCTGGCCTGGGCCAAAACCCTTTCAGTTTATACTTAGGGTGTCGTTGCAATTGTTTTGCCTTTTGTCTTGAGATCTGGCCTGCAGCAGAGGTGCCTGTCTTCTCCAGTGTTGCAAGGTATCTGGTCTTCTGCACTGGCTCTTTGGATGGCCCAGCCTTGTCTGACTGCCTATGATATTTCTAACTCACTCAGCTGCCTGTAACATTAGCATTGCCTACAGTACTCAGAACAGTGACGCACTGAGCAGGCTTGTAGCCGAGGGATAATAGGCTACAATGTACAGCCTCACTGTGCGATAGCCTCTACCAATAGGCTGTAACAATACTACATAATGTTCGCACAATGACAAAACTGCCCAGTGATGAATTTCCCTGAATACATTCTTGTTGTTAAGCAATGCATGGCTATTTATCAAATATCCCATGGGGAAAAATCAGACTTGCACTTAGAGTCCTTGAGTTCATTGTGCCTACTCCAAAACAACTGCCAAGACAGCTCTTGATTTTTCCTTCCCCAAGTAGAGGCTCAGCAGAAGCCTAGTTCCTGTTCTCTGGCAATGCCCAGATCACCAGATACTCAAAGGGAAGTGCTGTACATCAGCTCTCCCAGGGAGGGCCTTTTCCCACTTATGAAATTCAATTTTACTTTCTCTTCATGAGGCAGGAAGCCAACATGACTAGCTCAAATTCAAGCAGCAAACAAGCTAAAGAAACAGATTTAAACCCAGGAGATCTGATTCTGGAGTCTAGTATATAAACTGAGATAAGAAGCTACCAGGACTTTGAAGTAGCTGCCTGTCAAAAAGCAAGCAGGTAGCTTCATTTTGGGGTGAAATGAAGGAGAAAGAATTCAAATGGTTAATCAAAGGAAAAAGCAATGTCTTTTCTAAGATAAGGAAGTGCAGGAAACGGATGAGACCCCACAAAATTAAGATGCCTCCTTTGTGTGGGGCTGCTCAGTTTCAGGAATAGTTATGGTCTCTGCCTGTGGAGTGGGCATCCTAGCAGTCCCTAACTAAGCTACACAGTCTGTGCAGTAGCCAGCTGTGTTTCTTTACTGCAGCCAACTTTTGTTTCACCCTTAAAACTGGCCCAGTGAGATTTCCATCTTACATGCAGCTAAGAACTCATGCTGGCTGGTAACACTTATTTCTAAAGCTCTCTTATGTTTCAAAAGATAAGGTTTTTATTCCCTGTCTTTTTTCCCCTCTACTTTCTGCAGCAGGGTTGTTGGCATCTTGACTGACTTTTATCTGGCTGCACAGAAGCAGAAGTCTACAAATCCTCTTTTGTATCAGAATCACAATGCCCGTTTCCCCTCACAGTTCCACTTTTTGAGACATAGAGAGCATTTGTGTTCCAGCACCTTAAAGCTAGCTCCACTGTGATGGTTTGGCTTTTAGCCATGCTGCAGGCAGACACTGATTCTTTTTAAAGGAGAAAAACCCTTTTAATTGAAAAAAATAAAGCAGTTCATCTAAAATAAGACCGTGCTACATAGATACATTTTTCTGATGCTCCTTTTGTAAAAGTGAAAGATTTCATCTGCTTGGTTAAAAGAATACGCTGACTGAGACAGCATGGGTTGAGTGTGCATTTCTCCACCTTTGCTTAGTGTGTGATGATTTGCTTCGAATTGGTCAGGTCTTTGGGGAGGTGGACTTTCAAAAGGCCTCAGTGACATGGCTGGGATTACTGGTCTTCTGATTTAAAAGTTTAAGGTGAGCAATGTCTTGGTAGCTCCCAAGATAAGTAATCTTCAGCCTCAGTGGCTGACGAGTGCTCAGCCTCACCCTGGGTGTAGGGCATGGGCTGGGCTGGGTACTCGGTCCTCCTGTCCTCCCCCCTCCTCACTGCTACCTGTGCTGCCTATTCATTGTTTATCATTTTATTTTTTCTTCCACTGACACCTTTACGCATGACTGGAAATTAATCAGCTTCATTTCAAAACAGCAAGAAAGTTTAGACAAATCAAAGACTATAAATCTACACCTCACATACATCTTTTCAAAACATTTTCTAGTACTAGGGAATTAAACCAGGGATGCACTACCACTGTTAGATCCTCAACCTCTTCCCTTTTTAAATTTTGATGCAGGTTTTTGCTAAGTCTCTAAGTTGCCCAGGATTGGCTCAAACTTATACTTCTGCTTTAGTCTTCCAGAGCGCTAGGATTACAGGGTTATAGGTCGAGGTCAGGGACAGTGTTAGGTGTACACCATCATGCACAGCTGCCTCAGACTCTTTTAACCAAAAATTTCCTTCCTTTATTCTGAGCACATTAGGAACTTCTCCTCACTTCACTTACACTGTCTGGGGTGCAGCATGAACACATGTAAAGACAACATAATTGATTGGGAGTGTCAAAATGCAAACTCTGACCCAACTTATACACATGGGCAGTGTCAGGTAGGTGTTTCCTGGTACATTGTTGGTGGAAACAGTAAGAAACATCTTGATTTCAGAAATGCAGCAAGTACTAAAATCAGAAAGATGAGTAAAACAGATTTAAAGAGAGATGACATACATTAATTATATGGATATAAAAAGTCATTATATAAGTAAGTGTTTGGAGTATCTTGATACAGAGAAAGCAGTTGATAAACTTTTGTTAAAATGGTTATCAAGTACAGGACATCACTGTATGAAAAAAGATAAGCTATATATCACTAAGAGTATCTTTTCAATTGCCATAATACTTGTAAAAATAATAAAAATAAGCAAGAATGCTATTCTCTCGCCTCATAGTCTAGTACTGTGGTGGTCCAGGAATGGCACAGTGGCTCTGCTCTAGGCAAAGGGACTTCATTCATTGGTTTATTCTACTATCCAATCAACGGCCATCATCGTATTTGAGTTCAGCCAATGGGAAGAGGGAAGAGGGCCACAGATACAAAGTATTCCTGCAGGGCTATACCACAGGGCATGTTCCTCAGCCTCCTGAGTATCTAAAAGTAATTATAGGCCATATGGCATAGTGACACCAGCCTCCTGATCTTCAGATCTCAGATGCTACAAATTGTCTTGAACTCAGTGTCTCCAGGGGATCATTGCTCCCTGAGGGAGCAGTTCTGAGTGGTCTGAGTGTGATTCCAGGAGATCCAGTTGAGAACGTCCTTCTCTATCTTTCCAGTGTTTAATATAGAGCAGTTAATACTCCATACTATATCTCTTCTTATTGAAAGGCCCAGAATGGGTTATTTCCTCTACTGAACTCTGATTGATACATTCAGTTCTTCATTTATCATGAGGATTAAATGGGATCATGCATTCAATATATGGTAACTGTGGAAAGTATCAATAATAGCAATAGATTGCTTATTTGTGACCTACATTATTTGAATTGATTAGGACTCTCACAAAACCTCTCTAAGGAGCTCATGATAGAACCCATTTTTAGCATTTCAGAGGACAATTTTGAGATACAGCTCAACCAACCAACATCTGAGTGCGGGTTGCTGTACTGGCAAAATGAATTAATAAACAGTGATTGGTTTGAACTGTAGCTGTGCTAT